AAAATGGATTTAACGGTGTTGGGGAGAGTCATCAGCAATTTTGTAAGTCTTCGGTTTATAAATTTTCTTTTTAGGACGATGCCTCTCGCAAATTTAATATGCAGATAACAAATAACGTACAAATACATTGTACTCAATTAAAAATAAAATAATTCTCAGTGATGATCATGATACTTCCCTTAATTCTAAAATCTAGGACTATCAAGTTTAAAATCAAAGGCAAAAATACAAAATTCTTCTTTTTAGAGTAACAGTTATTATTTCTAATCGGAATAGATGTAATCGTAGTCGATAAACTTACTTTTTTTAATACCCGGACTGAAAGTAAAATAATAAATTACCATAAATAAAGCTAATCTTCGTAACGTAAACAAAAATCAAAAAAATTGAGGAGGATTTCTGGATGGTTTCGAAGTTTCAATTTCCATAAAGAAATCATATCATTATACCAATTATATTTTTACGTAGAATAAACGGTTTAACTGACCTCAGAAAAATAACTAAAGTAACCGACGACCCTTTTTTCACTACATTCATTAGAGCTTAAAGCCGACATTAGAGCTTAAAGCCGTCATTAGAGATGGACGAAAACCTTGATGGACAATTGTGCAACTGGCTGATTACGGTAAGGTAATAATGATCAGGTGCAAATAAAAATATCTGATAGTTTAAGTTAAAATATTCAAACGCCCTAAGGTACTAAATTAATATCAAGAAAAACAGCTGTCCTCTTTCTCTAAATTTGTTCAAAATTAGCGTCTCATTCAGGGCAGATTCAAATTGGCCCTAAATTAACTGCTCATACGCTAAAAAGTGCACTAAAAATCAATTGATAGAAACATATGCTACAATATTGTATAGAATAGATCCAAACTTACTACACGTATAAATTGAGATTACACCATGAATAACACCATGCTGAGACCACCAAACAGTTACCATTACCCTTTTATTGGTAAGTTTTGCTATAGGACACTGCTGTGGCGTTTGATCAGGGTTCGCCATTGCATTTTTCTTTTACGTTTATCATAAAGAATCCACTTTTCATCACATGTCACAGTTCGATCCAATAATCCTTCATTTCTGTACCGATTCAACAAGGCAACACAAGTTTCAAGACGCGTTTCTTTCTGCTGATCAGTCAAATCATGGGGCACAACTTTTTTCGTATCCTTTTATTTTATTGATTTGACACAAATGAGTCAATATTGTGAGTAAGGTAACGTTAAACCATGCCGCCAATTCCTGGATAGTTTGTCTAAATCAGCTTCCACCATCTCTCTCAATTCATCGTTATTGACCTGTGTGGGCGGTCTTCCTCGTGGCTCATTCTTCAAGTCGAAGTTTCCATCACGAAAGCGTTTAAACCAAAATCTAAAAACGCAACATTGATATTGCAGACTGTTTCTGCCAGATTACTTACGCGTCGGAACTCGTATTCAAAAATCACTCTTATTTTCGCAGTATCCGTCGTTCTTGTCTAAGTTGAATAACAAAAACAATTGGAAGTCGATATTCAAATGTTTTACATTTTTAAAAGAAGATCATCATAGAAACCATGTGAAAAAAGTTTCTTTCGAAAACCTCAAACCATGAAGATTCCATGTCAATTCAAGGAACCTAATACAATAAAATGGCAATATCATACTTTAACCCCTATTAATATAACTTAAATTTATAATGATCAAAAGTAGAATCAAAAGCAAAATTAATTTATATATCGCACGTTGAGAATGACAATGTCACTAACCAAAAACGACGTATTTTTTACTTTTGCCAACATTTTTCTTTGTTAAGTATAAACTTTAAAATGCAAAGACCCCTGTGAACGTATCTTGCATAGAAACTGTTAGGTGACGTAGTGACGATACGTTGTTTAGAGGGGCTGATTACAATTTCTTGAACTTTAAACGCTCATTACTCAAAATCGCATTTTTTGCATTGTGTCACTATCGTTCGCAGCGTACGATATTTGAACATAACCTCCTCACCACACGCCAAAGAGCAGAGAAGCATAGTAAAGAAAAAAAAAATTACTAAGATATAATCTAGATAATATATTTTATAAACATTAAAGTTTTTTTCTTTTTTGTAAAATATGATACACAAAAGTAGGAAGTCTAAAATACCTTTACTCTTATTTAATTTAAAAAATAACTTCGTCACCATGTGAAAAAAGTTTCTTTCGTAAATCTCAAACCATGAAGATTCTATGTCAATTCAAGGAACCTGTTACAATAAAACGGCAATTTCATACCCCTAAATTAACCGATCAACGTCGATCGAAGATCATGGGTATTTTAATGAGTTTAAAGTCAGTTTCATTATTTAAAATATTATATATTACAAGCAACATATAAAATACATAAAATCTGTTCTTCTAGACGTCGGTTTGCTACACAAATATTATTTTGCAATCCAAATGCTTGAACCGATTATTATTATTGTCACATAATTTGAGATCACCTGTCATTCCTTTGCGAAGTGTGAAGAAATTCGAATCGTCCTCCTACTTCGGCTCTCATTGATCCGTGATCAGCCTTACTATTACCAATTTGTATTATTAATTCGAACAACTTTATTCCACGAATGTTTTCTAACTACTGAATGTTCTAAAACTATTGAGAATCACAAAATAACTGCTGCCAAATGTACTGAAACATTTAGCTTCAGCTTTTAATGAAAGAAATACATTCATTTCATGAAAACAAATGACTCAAAGAGACATTAATGAGTCAAGTGTGAGTTGATTATAATACAGTATTATTTTTTATATTGATGACATTAGAAATTAAATTAGTTCTTACAAGATTAATGAAAATATTTATTAAACTGTACTTATATAAAATTAAACTAAACGTTACAACAAGGCCGATAGATAACGAAAATTCGACAGCTGTTACGCTAATAATCATGTTCCGATTTTTATGACATTTGAATCATCGCATACAGTTTTGGAATGTTATATTAGTTAGTATATAATCCATAATCTAGACCTTTAAGGATGGATATTTTTAGTTCATTATCAAGATTTCAATTTACTTATGTTATTATTAAATTTGTAAGTCACAAGATATAACAACTAACATTTTATTAAACCGTGTTTTAACTGAGACAGAACTCTTAGAAATTTGATGTAATGAACTCATACTTAATCACAGTTTATTTGGACGTTATTTCTTTGTAAAACAGATTTGCAAGTTAATGATTTCTTTTAAAACACCCTTTTAAGACTGTTTTCGCAATCTTTAATTGCTCTAAAGTAACAAGTGCTTGAAAAATTCGATAGTCCTGTAGTCGGGTAGCTCAGTGGTTAGACGAAGTGGATTTTTGAAGCATATTTAACTAAGCATATTTTTCAGTATACCTCTAGCATTGTGAACGCAAAATTGTTCAAATATAGTAAAATTATTAATAGTTTAGAAATATATGTTAATTTGATGGAGAAGGGGAGATTAAATACAAAAAGAAACTTTAAAATACCTATACACTTTTATGGTTAATTAACAAAACATAAATGAATGAGCATGCTTAGATGATGATTGCGCTTGAGGCGAATGATTTTGTGAACGACACATCGGATGGACGAATTAATCGAGTATAAAGTAAGTACACTACACAATCAGACTCATCGTAGTGATGTATTAACTCCAGTTGGGCTTATCTCGAGTTAACTCGAGTTGTTTTTCGAATATAAATATTGTTACGAAGCTGAATCGTTAAATTGGTAAAAACAAACTAAATCATTTACTCAATATAATCCTGTCAACTGGAGTTATTAAAATAGAGTTGAACTTGAGTTACGTGGATTTTAACTCGAGATAACTAGAGTTGTGTTTTTTCCGAGTTCCCTCTGAGAATCCCCGCCACTGAGCTAAGTGTAGTCCGCCTGCGGACAGTCCCGGCCTGACTGTGGAACTTCTTTCTCAGATAATTAGATGGTAGCAGATTGACAGAACTTCGTTAATTATATATTGCGGTAAAGATCCGGAGCTATTGTGGTAAAGATCCGGAGAATGATTAAAATTATAATTCATTATATATATTGATAAAAAAACCAAACTTGTTCAGGATTATGATGAAACAAATATGTAGAAACCACGTTTGTAAAAAACCTTCAATATCAGCGTAAAATTAATATTGTGTTGACGACAGCTTTGTGTTTTTAAATATTTTTGAATTTTGATTTAAAAACCTATATTTAAATAAAAATATCTAAGAAGGCTGGCAAAGCGTCGTCTAAAAATCAGCCGTTATTTAAAAAAAAAATTAAATACTCATCAATTTTTTTTAATAAAAGGTAAATTTTAGTCGTATACTTTTTTTAAACTACTGAACCAATTTTAATGAAACTTCTGGTTCCTTAAGGTGAAAGGTGATTAAACAAATAATAATCATTGCAATCGGCTATAATTGCTAGAAAAACGTGTACAATCGCACACACACAAACAGGCCCGTATCGTGAGGTTTCTTCGATGTTTCCATGTCGCAACCGTTACCTTTTATTCATTATATATTTATGTACATCCATATATATATATATACATAATGTGACTGAGTCTGATAGAGTACCGAAGGGTCTTGTTAATTAAAAGTATACAACTTGACACAAACTATGGTTGTAATAAGATTATTACAAAGCGCGATCAATCAGACAACATTGCGTGCTTCTAACGAACGACTTGAGGTATGAGCAAGTGCTACGCCACCGTCCGTACCACCCTGTTCCCTTAAAATAACACCGTGGTCCGATTTAATTTGCATATTCTATTACAACAATAGTTACGCCTCTCACTAGCATTGCTGCCTGATGTAACATTGTTAAAAGACAGTTTTGTAGTGCAAGACCTGTTTGCACCACCGAAATTAAAAACAATAATTTTTATTTTTAAAAACGGAACAGAGGTTTTACTATTTTATTTTACGTCTTAAAAGTTTTTATAGTCATCTAAAAAGTTTTCAACATCTGATTTATCAAATAAATAAGTTGGTAGGATAAAATGTTTGTGTGCGGCGTCGTACCGGGATCTAGCGAAGAGGAAGAAGAAGAGGATATCATGGATATCCTCCAGGTATTGAAAATCAGCTGCCGATCTCCAATTGCATGACTGCAGATCTAATAATGTTACCTTTTTTATTATAACTGTGTTTGCACGATTCTAATTCCCTTCCCCAGAGACCTATCAATTACCCATTTTTAAATGTTTACCGTTACGTTCAATTGATTCAATTGTGGTTCATTTTCAGTGGTGATAGGACGATATATTTTTGTGATTTTTTATTTTTTTTACAAGATGGATGAAGATAAACTTGCGAAATATGTAAATAACTATATATAATTATTGTCCGTCTGAAATCTTTTAAATTTGTCTCTTTTAGCTTTTGGTCCAATTAATACATTTTAACTAAATTTTAAGGGTTTCGTTTCATTTAAAAAACGAATAATCATAATATAATAGAAAATCTATCAGATCTTGTTCGATTTACATTTTGTTATTAAATCCCATCAAAATTCATAAATAATAACAGAATTTAAGAAAAAATAATTTTCCCTTGTCATTAAATATATATATATACAATATATATGAAAGCAGTAAATTTTGCATATAATATCAAAAACACAAATTTTTACTTAAATTATAATTTTTTGATTATTATTTTTTATTCTTCAAACTAAGTATTTAAATCTTTCGTTCAACGATTTAAATAGCAGATATACAAGCAGTTATCCTATAATATCAAACTTAAAATATATACAGTAACATAAGTTAAATACCTTTATTTGCAGCGAGCAAAATAAGTCAAAATTGCATAAGTTTTCACCGGAAGTCTCTGTGAACCAGCACAAAAATATCATTCAACTTGTATCTCAATAATCCTTTAGATGACATTTTCTTATTCAGAAACGGCGGGAAGAATGCGAGCGCAAAGCGAGACGTGGGGAGATGGACCCCCGGCTGGAGTTCACGTTCCAGCTGCTGATAGACGGCACGGGCCTCCCTCGACACTCCATCATGGACCACGTTTTCGAAGGAAATATGGTTAATATAGAGAATATCAGTAAATTTTCTGTAGCATGTGCATATTTAAGGCATTTGTAAAAAATCGTTAGCAGCATGAGTGCCATATACTCGTATCGTACAAAAAAATAAATTTTTTTGCTCTATTTAGTTCCGACACAAATACGATAACAGCATCGAACAAAAAAGCGAGATATATTGAACTGAATTTTCATTCAGATTTAGAATAAACAGCAGAGTTTCCACAATTAAAGGTGCCATCCATAAATAATGCAACATATAACTATATTATGGTGACCTTCTCACGTCAGTACTCTGGTAACATTTATGAGATTTTCCATTTCCCTAGTGTAATATGACGTAGATTTTGTCAACTAAGAAAGTATTAATTAAAACTGCAGTTTTTCTATCTGAATTAATTTTCATAATAATATAATTAAAATAGATTTTGTAATGTGACTTCTCAAAAAGAACCGAGAGTGGTACACTTGTCACATAATGTCACGTTTCGTTGACTAAAGTATGACGTAATTAATAAATGCCCCTTATACCGAAAAACGATATTAAAATTATTTTATAGTTGGATGACATCAACCAACTATTTCTGCCTCATATGCGAAACAAACTGCTGTGGTATTACCAAGATGTTGAGGAAGTGGAACAGAAACCACAAGCTGAATCGTCCAAGCCGAGGCCACCGGGACAAAAGCCGCCTCCTCCACAGGTTACTGTCAAAAAGAAACTGTTCCTCTCAGACGGCTGGGACGTCAGATTCACCGGCATATGTATTTATATGTTCAGAATCAATGTTAGCAAGCAGCTACCCGAAGAAGGATTCCACAAAGATTTGTAAGTTATTATTTTAAATGCTGAAATTTCACAAAACGTGAATCTTCGCAAACGTAATTGCTATTATTTAAATTCTACTTATATGTAAAAGTTTTGAAAGGATTATTTGAGCAAACAATATGCAAATTATACTGATCCTGTAAACAAATACGGACTTTATATTACCCATTTCGTAAGTGATCGTTTTGTCGCTAATCCAATTTCAGCAAAAACTCAGGAGGCTTCAATATGACTTGAACACAAAATTGTGCGGCAGTATTTGACGATAAATTGTTAATCTTTGTTGTTTGCTCTTCTAATTATTAGATTTTGCGGTATCCTGAATGCAGAAAAGGTAGGTTTGGTGACAGCAATCGAGAGGGTAATGGAATATGTGTACATGAGTGCACTTGCTCATCCGAGCAGCGATGGTGATGAAGACGAAACAAAGTTTCCGATAGTCAAAAATCAACTACTACCTGGCCTGAGGTCTTTCTGTAGCGCGTTAAAAGGTAATGGAATAAGTATGCCCGCATAAGATTAATTAAATTGTGTTTAAATATAAGTATCACTGATTTTTTACTCTTCGACCGCATTTAAAACACCATCAATCTTGAGCAGCCGTTTCCCTCCCTCTAAATCTCTTAACTTTTTGTTTCTTACAATACATAACAACACCATTTTCCTTAATTATGTGCCGATTTTTAACTCAATTGTACAAACGTCAATTTTTGAACACACACCCAGTTACACAAACTTGTGCGACGTGTCTCTCACTTGTCTTTATGACTTGTTGTTGTATACATACTTCATGGTTATTTATGTCGTTGTGTAATTTATGAATTCATGCTCATTTTCTTCACATAACCATAGTTACGTCATTGTAAATAAACACTTTAGAATATATTGTAATAATGTTCTAATTATACAATACTTGTCGTGATAAGTTTTGAGATGTTACAGATACAAATTTTCAAATTTAGAACATTCATTGGAGTGGTCGCCATTAGATCTTAATAGACTTTTGTGCAATGTGTTTTGATTAAAGTATTGTCACTCAGTTTGCGAAGAAGTATGCAACCAAATAAATCTATTCGATGATGGCTTACACATGATGGCAAATGTGCAAGATAAGAACGAGCTTAAGGACATGACTAAGAATATTAACACTATCACAATGCTAGAGGACCGGGTGGGAGAGTGGATTAAAAAGGTTATGGAGGTAAGCAAATTTATTCCGTCGGTTTTGTCCCTGGTATTCTGAGACGAGATGGGATGGGAGCGGTTGAAAAATTTGTCAGTTCTGTTAGATCCTGGGTAGCTCAGTAGTTAGAGCAGTCGCTCAAATTGCGGAAGGTCGTGTGTTCGAATTCCATCTCAGAATACCAGAGATAAAGTGGATTTTTGAAGCAATTTTCATTAAGAATATTTTTGATTATATCATTGTAAATGCAAAATTGTTCAAATATAATATGTATTTGCCTATGTTGAAAACAGAAATGATAATTTGTGTTGGTGTTTAAGAACTACTTTAGTTTTTAGCAGATCTTATTTCTTAAGAGTATTACATGTCTGGATGAATTATATAAATAATTTTATATCTCACTTAGCGACTGCGAAAATCATTCAACTCTTTCAATCCAAATCCAAATTTGAATCTAAAGAGCTGGTATATTTCTTACCGAGCAATTTTTCGTGCCGTTCGATGCTACTGGTTATCAATTATTCATTGTTTTTTCTTTTTTTTTAGTATATCATGTGTCCTTCATACTTAGTCCATTTTTTCTCGTATCTCGATTTATTTTTAATTTTTCATATAATCCACAATTTCAGATCTTAAGTGAAAGCGAACAATTACGACGCGAGGTAGACTCTAGCGGTCCTCAGGATGAATTAGAGTACTGGAAGAAGAGAGGTGCTCAGTTCTCGCAATTGGTGTCTTATCTACAAGTAAGTTATTATTTTTTCATTTATATTTAGAACGTCTACTATTGCACTATAATGGAAATCATATTCAAGTCTTGAGTCGTCAATATTCTGCCCATCGTCCCACCACTCTGAAATACATGTTGGTATACCATGGTTCATTGTTATCTCTAATGTTTGATGATTTTCATTTTGGAGCGTATAATATAACGCTCCAAAATGAAAATATTTTAAAGTGATGAAGATGACAGTGAAACTCACGGAAAATAGCTTTCAGAATGAATTGCGACTTTAACCCTTAGCACGATAGTTATTAAGTATGAATTGAAGTTGTATTCAGCAAAAATTTCATATTTTTGCATTGCTATTCATGCAGCACTCCCTACCGCCGCAGATAATCAAAATTTTCAGTAACCAAATTTAACATTTGTTCCCGATACATTTCAATGCATATCTTATAATTTCTCGCGTAACTTCTTTTTGAAACTTCTTTTAATTTCTTTTATAATTTGTTTGCTAGGATGATGAAGTACAACTGACTCTGATGGTCCTCCAACTAGCTAATTCCAAGGTCATCAAATTGTGGCGGGACACAGATCACAAGATAACATTTTGCTACAATGAGGCAAAAGATAATGCCAAATTCATTCAAGCTATGGAGAAATGTTGCCACTCTCTTTATTTAGATGATCCGGTGAAAATAAAGGATTCTATATTGAGCCTGCTGCAGACAGTGAGACTCATACATAGCGTTTCTCAATTTTACAACACATCTGAGAGGATCTCTTCCTTGATGGTGAAGGTGAGGTGAATTACTATAAGAAACAATAAATTCTCATTCGATATATATTCGCATAATTTCAAGGAGACATTTATTTCCGAATATCTTTCCTTTTTTTTGTATATGTCTAAAATCCATTCACATAACTCACCGCTAGTGTACATGACATAATGACACACTTATATTTGCGCATCGTGTTTGTACAAAACGATTTAATATTGAATGAAGTAACATATTCATACAAATATTTCCCTGCAATTTGTGCATTGCGGATGATTGGATTCGTACAGACAGATTTTTGTTTATGCAATAACTTGCAAAGCGTAATAGGCGCTACTATAAACACAAATTTGCCCAAAAAATTACAAATGGAACGTCATTGTATGAGTTAATAAGAAGTGTAGATGGCAACTTCTAATGTCTACACGTTGAAACCTAATTTAGTCAGAATGACTGACAGTCAGTTGCACAAACGTTTAATGCCACATTACTTATACCAATTTTCAAATTTAGAACATTCATTAGAGCTTAAAGTCGCCCTTAAACTATAATGGATGTTTGTGTAACAGATCACGAATGAACCATGAACGTCCTACGTGATACTATGCTGATATTATTTTCGTATGTGGTTCTGGTGACTACCCGCCTTTCTATAAACAAAAATCAGACTGAATAAAGATTTAAACCAAATACACACATACATGTGAAATTGTTACGCTATTTACACAAAAATGTATTGTTTTCTTTTCAGATTACAAATCAAATGATTGAAACATGCAAACAATACATCACGTGTCGTTTCAAGGAAACCATATGGTCGCAGGAACGTTCGCTGGTCAGGGAAAGACTAATACACTGCATTAATTTGAATAGAACTTACAGGTATTACAAATAAAAAGTCAGAGAAAATCTATAATCTAAACAATAGTAAAATAAAATTTGTTCATAGTGAAACCAATTGTATGAATATTTTATTGACAGGGAAACCTATTTATTCGTGAAAAATCAACCTTTCCTGCCTAACACGGAACAATTCAGTTTCTCCGAGAACTACGTTTTCGGAAAATTCGATACATTCTGCCGTAGGTTGAATAAAATCATTGCTATGTTTGATCTCATGGACGACTACAGCCATCTCTTTGAAAAAAGAATGGAAGGTCTTTTACTTGGAGAAGGTAAAAAAAATACGCTAAAGAAAATTTTTATTCCGTATAACGGATCTTGATGTGCAACTAACCCATTTATTTTTGTTTACTACTTAGATTTGGAAGAGGCTATGCAAACGTTCGAGGAAGCGAAAAAGGCCGTAATCACTGCACAATACGATTTCCTAGACTATAGGAATGCAGACTTCGATAAAGACTACGAAACTTTCGAAGGCAAGACCAATGCTCTAAGGGAATCTATAGGAAACACGATAGAGGACAACTTTTCCAGTGTGTGGGAAACTCCGCAAGGTATCAAATTCCTCACCAGATTTGAAAAGGTAAATATTAGCTCCATGTTGATAAAAACTATTTACAAAATAAAAACTTTTTCGAAATATAGAACCGACTTCAAACTTAAAAGTTATTTATAATATTTATCTCAAAAGTGACTTATTCAACAAAATGCTATTGAACTCGGGCGAAGGTTTTCTGTGGGCTGTTAATTTAATGATAGGCGACGGAAACGGCTTGTTTGACCGAAATTGAAACACAAAAAGAAGAAATCGATAAACATTACTACTTTCATAAAAAATATTAATTCCCATTGAACATAAAAAAAATTCTTTAGAATTTTTAATGAATGCAAAATGCGCAAACTATTGTTTTTTAGCTGAAATAAACATATCATCAAGATTATTTTGTTTTTTTTATAAAATGAAAACTACCCATTCGATTTCAAAAAAAAATAAATCGGTCTATTTAGCTGTCGAATAAAAAAATAATATTGAAAATTAGTCAACAATAGGTGGAAATATCGGTGAGCATACATAAAAAAATACATGGCCGTCGAATAATTTCCTGCTTTTCGATTTTGAAGTCTGTTAATAATCCGGGAAATCTTTTTCTTTATGCATAAGCTATTTAATATAATATATATATATATTTAATATAATAATAAGCTATTTATGGATCATTATGGCTTTCAATCAATCAAAGTATCTACTCGTAGCTAAGAAATAGATAAGTATTTTTATTATCGAGAAAGAAGGTAGACTTACTTAACTCGGCTGAACGTTTTTTATGATTTTTTTAAAGAGCGCTATACTCAAGTTTCTGTCCTGGATGTGGCGGTTACAAAATTATATATATTCTTCTTGAATATTTTTAGGTTAGTCAAAAAATTCAAATAACTAAACTGAGCGAGAAATACGACCGTGTGCTGAAGTATTGTGAGAAAGAGGTTGATAAAATAACGAAGATGTTCAAGAGACAGAGAGAAGATCCACCCTTATTGAAAAACTACTCTCCAGTTGCTGGTAATAAATAGCCTGTTCTGCATCAATTATAGATTTACTTATTTAAGAATTAGATCATATCGGTAAATTAACGTTTTGTTACAAATAAGATGACGGAGAATTTGTCGCAAAATCTGATCTTCCATAAAAGAAATGTAGTTGATTCTGAATTGCCGTTGCTGTTTGCATATATCCTATTAATATTATAAGTGTGAAAGTTTCTTTGTTTGGATGTTTGTACGTCAATCACGCCGAAACTGCTTTTTATCCCACTAAAAATTTTCCTAGGGTCCACGCGGGCGAAACCGCTAGCGAAAGCTAGTATATTAATATGTATACCGTGACGCAAGCGAAATAAGTGGATTATCGGAAAAGTCTATATAGCACATTCGAAACTAAGTTTGATTTAAACCTTCATTGTGTTTTCATTCTTCTTATAGGACGAATAAAATGGTCAAGGTGCCTAATGCAAAACATGACGGAAACAGTAGAGAGTGTGTGTGCTCATCCAGTATTGCGATCTCTACCGGCAGCTGGTGACGTCACACGCAAATACTCTAACACACGTTCACTTGTGGTTACCTATGAAGAAACTATGCGGGCTGTCTGGATGAACCAGAATGTAAGTATGAGATATTCCTGCATAAGTGTATTTTTCGTATGTTACCCTAGATGCATAAATGCAATTTCAGCAATTAATTAATGCTAATTCAATTATAAAATGCTTCCACAATATCTTTAAAGTTCAAAAACCATCACCTAGTTTTTTCAAAATCTTTCTTACAATGAAACTGAAATATTTAAAAAAGCGATATTTTACTAATGTTGTGGATTTTCACGATTAGCTGTGGGACGTGGACGACAGTCTGAACAATACATTGCTGAAGATTGACGACGCGGGACGTATAAGCGTGAATCTTGATCATACTATCCGACTGCTGCTGCGGGAATCCGACTGCCTCATCAAGATGGGACTTGATCTGCCGATAGTCTGCCATTCCCTTTACGCAAAAAAGAACTATTTCACACTGATAAACGACTCTTTACAGGTTAGTAAAATCCAGCCTTGTAGTAGTCCTAGGTATAAATACAATACTTACATATATATAAATTAAATACAATACTTATAAAACCATATTTTTGCAAATAAAGATTTTATTATTATTATATAACGAGATATCTGCACCAGAAATTACCTCATAAAGCATAAGTCAAAGCTTTTAAATGTTGAAATATCTTCGGATAATAAATTACATAGTCTGCTTTGGACATCTTTTAATAATCTAGTGTCGTGGAAACGAATATTTGCAAAAATATGCGAAATAAGAAAATACTCCCGTTTACAAAGAAAACTTAAATAAAACTTACACTAAGCATGTTTGTTTTAGTTTCTACTCCGAGATTACCTCTGTACGGTACGACGCGTGAAACTTGAAGTGCGTCCACTATTTCTGCCTCAAGTGGTACGTCTTTCGTCCCTCCTCCTGCCCGGTCTCCGCTACGTCACTTGGACTAGTGGTGACTGGAAAGAATTCATTGATCGAGCAAATGCTGCTATCAATTGCTTCGACGTACTGGTTACGAGAGTACATGATATTTACACAAATAGAATCATCTACGTACTCTCCGGCATGCAAGATGTATCTTTGATTACATTACCAGGCAAGCAGCTTGTTTATCTAAATATATAGGAAACTTTAAAAGGTAATGATAGGTTACCTACATTACAAAAGAAACCGGTTTTGTGTATTTGCATCAGACTGAGTTTTGTCTTCTTATAGCTTTTGCAGTTCATTTTATTCACTTTTAAAATAATGCATAAGACTTGTGTGCTGTCGATTCAATGAAAAAAAGGCTGTAATTCGCATTTTGTTCTTGCAGCTGCCATGCAATACTTAGTTATTTGGATACTTTGCATTTATAAATGTCTTATCAACATTTAAAACATCAACTTGCTATTCTTGTCCGTTTGAGAAAACTTTTGAATAATATTTAAGAGAATATTACTGGCTTTTTAAATTGTTTTGTGAATGAATTCAAATTACATTGATAAATTGATTTTGTTTAACACAGAAGAAACACCATGGACAGTAGACGAATTTATGGAAAATGTGGAAACGGGTTGTAGGTAAGATATATTTTAAGAGTAGTAAGAAACATTTAAATACAGTATATTTTTCAATCTACGCTAGGTATAGAATGGCCTGAGGTCCAGAAGTGTAGGATGGAGACATTTATATTACGTTCATGATGATAAATCTTAAACAATTAAAAATACAAACTTAATGACACTATTATTTCCAAAGGATTGCGTGTGTTGAGCTGAATAGAAAGAGCCTTATGGTAGAAGAGGCTGTGGAGGAAGTTTTAGATCTGGTGAAGAAAGCTGCACAGCAAATTAGACCTACAGAAATAAATCCCGATTTTGAATTTCTCATAAACGATGGTAGGTATGTTACGAAGGCTGTGTCAACCTATAATCTGTATACATATGTTACTGTAAAAGCCCTAAGGTCGATAAATTTTAATATTTCCCAGTAAATCGTAAGATTTAACAGTATGAGTTGGTAAACGTCCAAATTACATAAAAAGAGACAATATTTCGGGTTTTACCAGCACAGTTTGGTAAATACTAAGATTTATCAATGATTGTTGGTAAATGTTAGGTTATGGGAGTATAAATATGACTATTTATTAATCGTTTGTCTTCATTACCGATACTTCAAAGCCTTACATAGTTTTGCAACTCCATTGTTTTGTCATAACACTGTTAGATTTTGTCATAGTTTTAAAATATCACTATTTATATATAATCTGACTGAAACGGAATCCTTATAGATTCGTATTGACTGTGCCTATCCATCAAATGAACAATCCATCCGTTTATCATTCACGTTTTTCAGAAGCGTTAATCGTTGGAGAGACATTTTCAATACGGTAAAATATCTACAAAAACTGCAAATATTTGTTTATTTAAATAAAACACTATGATAAACAGTATTTTTGTGTTTCTTTATGCTTGACGAATACGGAAACCTTCATGAGCGAGTCCGACTCACAATTGGCCACTACTTTTTCTAGATGACACCCAAGCAGGCAGCGGAGCTGCATCAACAACTGCCGAGTCAACGTCCAGTGGCCAACAGGACTGGTCCGCCGTATGGGAATGTTTTGAAAATCCTCACAAATTGCTCTCCACACCTGCTGGAGGACTATCGAAGAGCATGCAGGTATTTACATAATGTTCTAAGGAACGATGTTATATGCTAGGAGGCCAGCCTAAATGAAGCCATTCAAAAAACAGCCTTCATTGATGGGTTAGCGTAGGAGATTGCTCAGTTGCGCATCTTCTTCAAGCCTGTCACTGTATTGAGTACATAGTACTTTTCCATTGGTTACGAAAAGCAAAAAAAAAATGCCTTTTACTAAATTAATAATAGAAATGCCGTTAAAATTAATATATATATGTATATATATTTTCAAGACTTAACAGATTTAACTTCTCCTATGAGTTGAGCCATTTTAAGAGTAGTTACAAAGTTTCAGTGGATGTTTCAGGAGATGGTGAAAAACGCAGTTTGTGAGATGCGGCGCTACTACAGCAGAAAGGTCGTGGACGTCCTGATCAGAGTCACCAGAAGGACACTCGATCTCATCATCAAGAGGTTCTCTGTTGACCCAGAAGTTTTTGATGACGGTGAGAGATATTTCGGCCGTCTATAGTAGTTAGATATATTATTACCTACATCAAGGATATTAAACGAAATTAGATGATCAGAGGTGAATTTATATCATAATATGACGTAATTTATGTGAATTTCTGTGCTTAATGAGGCCTAATATATTTTCTAATTGATCCTCTTTTATTGATTTAAAATTGTTAATCCACAACTATTTTATTGAAGCTACTAATGATTATTTCATAATAAGAAATCATCACCAGCCCTTTTACGTCCCCACTGCAGGGGCTCAGGCCTTCTTATGGATGGTTAAGGAGGATGGGCCATGACCCTCCACGCTGGCCCAATGCGGATTGGAGGGTATTAACGACTGCAAATGCAGCCGGGACCAACTGCTTAACGTGCCTTCCAAAGCACGGAGTAGCTCGAGACAATAATTTTTGGTCACCCACCCCGTGACCGACCCTTGCGAAAGTTGCTTAACGACTACGATCGCGGGCCGCGGCGCTTATCCACAACGCCAACGAGCTACTGTAACTATAATAAGAAATAATCATTGGTAACTGGAGAAACTTATATGTTTAGATGATATAGTTCTTCCAGTATCCAAATAATATTTCATACATAAATATTCTGACGATAATGATTTTCATCAGGATTGATCAGCACATTCTTTGTAAACTTGAAGTATTAGTCAATTTACTCACCGTTTGTTCTAAAAACTTTAAAATAAAACTGTAGTTTACGATAAATTCTTACCGATTAGTTTTGTAGAAAGGCGGTTAAAAGCATGGCTAGCAGAGCCTCATCCAAAATGAAATATTTTTTTTGTATTCATCACCCGCCTAAATATAATATACAATCGCATTCTATCTAATTTTACAGTACCTAATCGCACTATAATGATTTGGTATTAATTAGAAAATATATATATTTGACATCTTATTCCACACCCAGTATGAAATCATACTTCGAAATTTTTCATATTTGTTCTTTTTTTCCCGAATCACCTCGTAACAATGGAACGAAAAATTTAATGAGTCTCTTGGTCCCAAACAGAATAAATAGTTTACATATGTAGCGATATTTAATTAAATGATTAAATTTTCTCTAATTTACATCTAGCGAAAGGCAAATTTATGAGTTATGGGTTGCAATGATGAGCTTTTAGGATCAAGAGCACCAGTTTTACTCAGTAATGTTTATTTTAATATTCTGCTACCTTATGTAAGCCTAGTATCAGAGAAAATTGGAACTTCTTCCTTCATCCTATTCCTATCACAGAAAAGATAAATATAATTAACCTGTATATTTTTGTATCTCTCTTACACCAAACTTTTCTTATTGACGTCGTTCGTGCACATGCGCAATAAAACGCCGCGCAAACTGTGTTCAGACATGCGTAGATGAAAAGCAGACCTTACAAGCTATAGGATATACAATTACTTGCGACCTCCTAGTGAATTCTAGTCTCCTAGTACAGACGCGGGTAAGAGATCGGCAAATGGCGGCCCGCATAATGCCGTCGAGGTGTACAAAACACACGCATAGGGATAAAATAAATTTATCTCATACAAATAATATCTGTATTTTACATAAATATTAATATTTACATAAATATTAAAAGGAATATTTTTTACAACATATATTTATTTCAATTGTTTATCTTATACGCAGTTGACACATAAATAATAATGCAAGAAAAACTTAAATATTATTAATTCAAGAAAAACTGATTCTTTAATATAAACATTACATCTCAAAAGGACACTAAGTACTTACTTATTGTTTTTAGCCTTTATTTATTTTACACTTTACTGTTTATTGCCATATATATTTCTCCTTATAGCTTGATAGAGAATACCCCCGGTGTTAAATCCGCCATTTGATGTTCTTAGCAATAAAGTCTTATTAAATATTATAATGTAGTTTTCACGTATAATGCATAATATATAATGTAGTTTATACGTTTACAAAGAGAAACAAATTTTTCACGCATGCTTTATTTTTATGAACAAGGAGGAATATTTTTTTTTTTTCTAAAAATAGAGTCTTCAAAGAAACCTATATTTCTGCTTCAAGCAACACTGATGATTCCGAGTGTATCTGTGAAGCCTACATTAGAGGAGATTCAAGAGGTGCTAATAATTGCCGGGAAGCATATCTCCGGGCTATCAAAAGGGGTGGCCCAGTGGACCGGCGGAAAAACCAGCAGGGTACACCTTACAACTTTTTCGTAAACATAAATAATAATTAGAACATAACTTAGGTAAATTTGACACATATAAATGGTACTGGAATATCTCCATTATTTACATTGTAAAAACCATTTTACTAGATTTCTAAAGTAAGTACTTCTAGATAATTATCAGTTTTATTTTTCACCTCTCACTGCAAACACATGCTATTAATGTATCTCAACTAATTGTATCCATCTAAATTCATTAAACGTAATAGTATCGCTCTCTTCGTCTAAACAATTTAATGCTTAATTAATATTTCAGTATAAATATTAACATTTATCATTATTTTCTTTTTACCTTTTCCACTTCGTTTTGTGACGTTAATTGTGTTGTAACTGTCATCATATGTTGTTTTTGTGTCATCGTCTGCGCACACTTCTCGAACGCTTGCACTCGGTGTGCTTTGTGTATACCCACGCTGGCTGCTCCCGGTTCCTTAATTAGGTTAACTGGAAGAAGATCACCGGTCACCAGCCGAAACAGCTCCTCAAAGTAGTGACGAGGCTTGATGAACAGGTTCAATCGACAACAGTACCGTACGGGCAAAAGGGGAAGATGATGGAAGCTGCCAAGATGAAGAGAAAGAAGCATTACCGTCTGGAATCTGAGGAGAAACCCTCCTTTCCTTTTCAACAGAAGAACTTTTATAACCACGTCCTGGAAAATAAAGAGGTGGTGAAGACTCTGTCGTTGCTATCGTCGTGTACGCAGAATATTAAAACGGTTAGTTATATCGACGTCTAAGAATCAATTGTGACTATCTCAAAA